AAAAAGGTGACAGTCATCTTGATTACGGATAAATCTAAATATTTTCATATCAACTGCAAATTTACTCGATATACCATTACTTACTTATCATTAATGAAATTTACGAAACCCCACTTGTGGCAATGAACTCATATGCCATGTCCTCTCACCTCCAACTAAATTCTGTCTGCTAAGAACGACTTAAAGAACAATACTAGATTTGCATCGAACCCCATCTTCACAAATTTGTGGAGAAAAATATTAGTGTCCACTCTATTGAAAGCTTTTGAGAAGTCAGTGTATAATTGAGCGGAGGATGTCAAATTATTAGGGGCAGTACCATGGCTACAGAAACCATGCTGAACTTCCACTATTAAATTTTTAACCTGATTACTGGTTACTGCCTTTCGAAAAACCTCGCAGAAGATGAATATTTCGAAGTTCCACTGTCATTTCCTTTTTCAAAGATCGGTGTTATTCTAGCCTCCTTCTAGCTATCAGGAAAAGAATGTGTGTTAAATGCAATCTCTAATCAAAAAGCTAGGTATTCATCAGGACCACAGGAAGTTTCATTCTTTCACTTTTTCAAAGCTTGCAGTACTAAATCGGAACGACTGCTCAAAGTAATGCATGAACTATCCTGTCCAGAATTTACATGGTGACTTACCCCACTAAAATAATCAGCGTCAGTTATAGACAGAGACATTTTTTTAGTTATAATGAAAACCTTCATTTCTATTGTATGCAGTCTATCTTTACAAAGTTGGAAACAATATGATTGAATCTCCTTTCGTTTTGGAAAAAATATATTTTATCTGTAATCCCTACATTCTTCGAAACAGGCAAACGTTCGATGTTTCTAGATATCATTCAAACTAGTCCTCTAACTCTCCAATTAAAGGATAGAGAATGCGTTTCCGGATCTCTTATTCGTCTTTAATTAAAGTTAACTGGTAAAAAATAATTTAAACTGACAAAGTATCTCTTTTTTTTGTTCGTCCATTCCTCGTTGTTCTTTGAAATTTGGCATTCCACCCGTATTTTGGACAAAGATTTGGGTCTTAAGGCTTATAAAGTTCAGAGACGGCGCTATGTGCCACATAACGAAAAACGAAAAACTTCCGAACCCAAAAGATGATCATAATTGGCCACCGAGATCTTGTGATTTAACACCTTGCGATTTGTTTCCTTGTTACCACATGAAATATAAGGTCTACGCCAACAGCCTAGCGTCGCTTAAAGACGTCAAAGATTGAATTCGCCAAGTTATTTAGGGCATACACCAGTGACTTTCCGATTTGGTGACGGAAAATGAAATGAATGAAAACGATATGGTCCTGTGATCGTAGCCGTGGTGGCCATTTGCAAATATTGTTTTCCAGTATTAATGGATTACCTCTTTACATTGAAACAAACATCCGGTCATTTACCTCAGAAAAATCAATTTTTCTATGAATATCAGAATATCAGCTCTTATTGGAAAACCCTTCAGTAGTGGACAGGCACCTTTGTTATATTTGGGCTTCTTGATATGTAATAGATATTCAGTAAAACACTTCAACAATATTTTCTTCTTTCTGTAAAGGGTCAGTCAACAATCAAAACCTCAATTGTTTCAAAAGTTATGAGAAAATGTTGAATCCGGAAGTTGTAAAGATTGTTAGGAGGCATAAAAATTTAAAAAAATGTTTTAGAGTATACAAAAAAGCGCGACTAATAAAATATGCATTTTTTTAAATGAAACTTTGTTTTCAATTGCAACAATTCTTCAACTTTTTCACTGCAACTCAATTTGAAATAGATGCTTAAGAGTGTTCAAAATAACAAAACTATTTTTTTCTGAAAACATTATTTTTTCTGAAAGATCTTGTAAAAACCTTCAATGTATATTCAGTATGTGATATATCTATTTTTAATACTTTGCGATTTACATTAACTTGTGCAATGGTGCTGTCAATCGCCTTAACGTCCATCAATCAGTTAATCAATTCTGGGTACGGGAAGTGTAAAACTGAAGCAATTGGTCAATTAATATGTGCTGTGGAATAAAACGCTTTTAAGTTATTGGAACATATTTTTTTTACAAACGCAGATAGTTAAACATTTTATAGAACGATTTACTTCAACTTCTTCAGGAAGTTGAAAACATTGAGATCCAACAAATATGGTTTTAACAACCTGGAACTCCTCCGCATTATAATCGAGAAGTTCGAGAATTGTTAAATAATCATTACCCTCAGAAATAGATCGGTAGAGGTGGATTCATTGGATAACCTCCTCGATTATATGACTTAACGACACTGGATTTCTTTTTGTGGCATATCTTAAAAATAGTATTTGTGTGAATCGAATACCAGAAAACATGACAAATAGGAGTCGGGACGCGTGCAGGAGAATAACACCGTTTATGCCAACGGTCATCCAAGAAATTATACGAAAAAGACTAAACACGCGAATGCAACTAGAAGGGCATATTTATGCTCCACAATAATACTTAAAAATAAGATAAGCTGTGAATTTGAAATTTGGCTGATAGTTTCACCAAAAGTGCTAATACTGTATCTACGACTTCGACAAAGTTTTTTCTCCTGTTTTTTGTCATGGGCAATTAATATTATACTAATAGTCTTAGCAATTTGGACTGGGCATACTCCAATTCGTCTTAAAAATATAAAGTTTTTCTATTTAAGTGAGCAAAATTTTATATTGAAATTTTTCTGGTTTTGAATTAATTAGATAGATACAACAGAAGATTTATATAGTTGCTTCAAGAATTATTTCAATTCCATCTAACAAGTTATACCTGTCTTGTTTGATCTTCTCCCAGTTTTATATTGAGAGGGTAGTAATTTTACCATAAAAATGGAGATATTTTTAAAGTAAATTTTTATATAATTTTGTTTAGACTATTTTAAAACATGTTATTTATTGATTTTGATAATTCTTAACAAATAAAGGTAGTTAAGAAATGATTTTAAATACGGGCTTTTTCAGAGGTGATATTAAGGATAAGAATAGAAGAAAATAAATTTCTACTATTGTTAAAGAAAGACCAGCCACAAATAACACATTTTATACATTATTTACATTACTTTTATCTATCCCAACTTTTGCTGAATCTAACGGCCAAATTTCAAATCCACAGAAAAAACTAAATAATATTAGATACCTATTACTACCAATTAGCTTATCTTATTTTTAAGTATTATTATGGCGCATGAATGTTCAAATATTTTCTTGGATGACCGTTGGCATAAACGGTGTTATTCTTCTGCACGCGTCCCGACTCCTATTTGTCATATTTTCTGGTATTGTTTGCGATTCACATAAACACGATTTTTAAGATATGCGCACAGAAAGATATCCAGTGCCGTTAAGTCACATAATCGAGGAGGCCATCCAATGAATCCACCTATACCGATCCATTTCTGTGGATAATGATTATTTAAGAATTCGATTAATTAATTAAGAATTTTTACAAGATCTTTCAGAAAAAATAATACATTCAGAAAACAAAACTTTTGTTTATTTTGAACACTCTTTAGCATCTACTTCAAATCGAGTTGCAGTAAAAAAGTAGAAGAGTTTTTGGAATTCAAAACAAAGTTTCATTTTAAAAAATGCATGTTTTATTAGTCGCCCTTTTTTGAATACTCTAACATAAACCACATACCAAATTTTGGTACTGTATCCAAAAACCAATATATATTACATACAAATAATTTTCATTATTATCAATCAGCTCCCGCCACCAGCCGGCGCAAATTTCTCAAAATTTGGTTGGATGTATTTGGGAAAAATCCCTATTCCTCATAACATACTAAAAGATATAGGTAATAAATGTTATAATAATAGAGTTTTAAATACATACCTTTCAATACATTTATAACGGATTCTTGAAGTCTCCGATTTTTCAATGAATCTTCTGTATTTATTTTCTGTATTTGACATCGGCAAAAACTAAAACTGCACTGAAAATTCGTATGACCAATCCTTAGGCTTCGTGTAGCCACGATATGCGATCAACTCAACTAACCAAATAATACTGTACGATTACATACTATAATACCGTATAAGAATGGGAAGTATATTTTAAAAGCATTTTCAAATTGAGGATGTCAAACTTATTATGTCAAGGATTTGACATTGAGAATATAACACCACCACACGCTAAAATGGAAAGAATGTTACTTTTTGTCGTTTTCATTTAAATATTTGTTCGTTCAAGAGAGAAATCAAAATAGGCAGCACCTTCCGAATAAAGAGACGATGCAATATAATTTGTAATTTTGGAATAAAATTTTGAAATTTTTTACAAGACGTTTTAACAAAATGAAAAATATATTTTGAAAATATATTCACATCTCAAGATCTAAGTTCTTAATTTAGACCGGTGGGTGTCCTGCGTAATCTACAATTAATTTTTTTTTCTGGGTAATTATCTTTTAAACCTCTACAAACGCCTGCAATACAAATATTTTGCTGTTTACCAGTAGTAAAAAAGGCATACTGAACTCCAAGAATGTGATGGTTTAAAAATTGGCCTTAGTGTACTGTGTGGTGGTGATGTGGGGAGCACCCTCTATTGCCAATTGTCGGAGACGAAGTCGGCGAAGGAGCGCGGAGTGGTCAGTTCCTTTTGAGGGGACGAACTTTGTTGACGTGCTATTGATTGTTTTATTCGATTTCGATCTGCTGGACCAGAGTCGATACGACCGGTCCATGCAGTTTGTACTTTTGTTTTTCACGTATAGTAATACACTCCGTTAGTAAAGTATAGTGTGCGTATTGTTTTCGCCGCTTCTGAACCCGGTGTGCTTCGGTAGAAACACACACATACATCACAAGAAACATCGCATCGTGTTTGGATAAACCAATTAGTCGTGTCTTGGTCATTTAATTAGCATTCCCAAGTATAAAAGCATGAAATGAATTGAATTCATTTCCATTCTTTTGTTCGTTTTGTATTACGTTTGCTGCATATTGAAAAAGTAACTATTCATATTTGAAAATTCTCTTACTGCGATTTTTTCCCACATCGACTCGTTGAAATATTTCTCGTAGTCGTTATCCTCGTAGTATTGTCCCTTGTGGACTATCTGGACGTCTTTCGGTGGCACTACCGTAAATTTAGCCATACAGTACTGCCCGAAAAATTCCTCTTCGTTGTAGGGTACTTTGACTTCGAGGCATTCGTCGAAATTGCCCAGGTCGTGCGATGAACCGTAGAGTATCCCGCTGGGCATCTTTCCAGTAGCGTCAAACACTGCAACGGTTATCAAGATTTAGCAAGTTGATCGAAAATTAGTAAAATTTACGTAAAAACTTTGCTTGTTCAAATGGGACACCATAGTATGTAAAATGCACAAGGCCACGATGCAAAAATGATTAAAAAACGTAGGGCTGTAAATAAATGTTGTTCCCACTTTTAAGCTATGCGTATTTCTGAACTAGATAGAGCAAAATCGACTTACATGTCAAATGCTCGAATTTGAGAAAGATTTAATGATATCTTCACTCCAACCGAGATATGGGGCGCCTTGCAATGTTCGATCCTATTTAAAATCGGATAAAAACGTAGAGACAGTTATCCATCCATTTGCTCGTAAATGAATAAACGTTTCTTATTTTATATGGCCATTATAGTTGGCTATGGTCTAAAAAAATGTTGGTATCTGTGATGAAAAAAAACGAAAATATTAGGCTTTTTTATGTATTAGTGGGCTGTGCATAATATGTTTAAAAAGACGATAGATAGGAACTTTTAAAATAAATTAATAAACACTTAAATAACAATTTAAAATAACTTAAGTGAAAACACGAAACCTAAGAACCATTTTATATTTTAATTTTAATTTGTGATATTATTTTTAATATCTAATTTTAATATTTTTCATTATGTACAAACCAAAATTTCATTTATTTTAACGTAATAAACAATACACAATACAATTTTGAATAAAAAATATCAACATTTAATCTTATACATTAATTATATTGTAATACTTAAAGTAAATGTTCAAATTGGGCTACCTCTTCAATACACTGAACCAACCTTTTCCGTACTAAATGATAATTATTATTCACTAACTCTACAGGATTGATGGAAGCAAACAGCTCTCGAGTAGCTTAGGTTTGGAAAATTCTATTTTTAAAAACAAGATCTTTTAATTTTCCCCATAAAAAAATCTAGATGAGTTAGATCACACGTCTCGCTGGCCACAGAATGGGACAACCTTGAGTTCGAATACAACATTGTTCAAACTGTTCATTTAAAAGTTCACTTGTAATTCGTACGTTGTGAGCGTTGTTGCTGATAATAAAATATTTACATAACCATCATCCTCTGCCAAATTTTCATTAAAAAATAAAGTCCCACAAATCTACTTCGGAAAATTCCTACTAATACATTGAATTCAAAGCGACCTTTCCGATTTTGATACACCACAGCGATAAGAATTGTATCTGATAAATATTCTTGAACAATCAATTCTCGCTACATCGCTCCTAACAACAGGTAATGAGAAATTAATGTTCTCATTGCATTTTCTGATAAACCAGTTGCAAAATTGTATTCGTGTACCAGCATCATCTTCAAGTAATTGATGAACTTTTCTGGTACGATATGGTTTGAATTTATGTTTTTTTAAAGTAGCCAAAACTTCAGTTTTTCCAGTATTTGTTGCGTCAACTGGTATCCGTTAGGATGTGCTTGGATTTTCCCAATATATTTAATTCCCGGAGATTCTGTTCTTAATTGAAGTGGTTTTGGTTTTGTCTTGGCTTTTTGGAACATCCGTGATTGGTTAAATTATTTTTTAACTTCATGTTCATGTGACAGAACACAAAATTGAATACAGAAAAAACATTATGTCCTTAACTGCCTTACAAAAGAAATCTATATGACAGAAAACGGCTAGACACGTGCAATTTTTTGGACGATAGCCAACTAGGAGTGCCCTATAAATTAAGAAAGTTTGTATTCATTTATAAGAAAAGGGAAAACTTAAAGAAAAATGTGAATACGTCACTGCGTTTGCCTTACAAAAATGCCCCAATAGCGTGATTATCCGAATCCAAAATTTTCATAATTAGAAAGCTTATGGGCAAATTTCAAAAAGGCCGAAAAATTGTAAATTTTTCTGTCTCGGTTGGTACTGAAAGAATCGCTACGCGGTTTTAACCATTAAATGTTCTTCTCTTAACATGTAAATCGATTTTGCCCTATCTCCCTCAGATATGGGTTTTTCCTGTTAAAACATTCCAATTACAACCACCCTATGCTGCGTACACCAAAAACCATTAAACTAAAAATTTTATGTAGCTATATAATTTTAATAATTGTAATAAAGACATTGGTTTTATATGATTAAACTCATACCTGGTTCATGTCCCTTAAAGCGTTCTTGGATTGAATTTCATTTAAAGGACGGTTTAAGTAATAAGCTTGAAGGAACGAGTTTTAATTTGACCCTCAAGTCTTTTATTAGAAATAATTAATAATTATAATAAAAAATCGGCTACAAAACATTGCTAAAAAGAAACATTATTCTTTTTTAATGAAATGTTCCAGATGACCCTCCGTTAACTAACTAATCATTTAGTTTTCCTCCATATGTAGTAAAATGTCCAAATTTCTATTGTCCCTCTCTTCTGCTCTATTATCGACATTTGCAGTTATTTACTACGGTCCCTTTCGACTCGAATTGGTTAATAATACGTTTAATTGTCCAAATCGTGGGGGTATACTGGAAAATAAATTTAGACTTTTCAGACACTGCTCCGAGACTGTTTCCTGCATAATATAACGGGTGATTCAATAAGAGTTTCCACATTTCAATCTGGAATATTTTTGAAACGCCACTGTATTTGTTTATTATCATATGAGATTTCTAACCTTAAAACATAAACAAAATTAGTCATGGAGCAATATACGACTGAACAACGTGTGAAAATTGTACAAACCTATTATGAAATTGGTCGATCAAGAAAAAATGTATTTCGGGCTCTACGTGAATTTGAGCAAACTGGATCTGTAACTAACCTCAAAGTCCCTCAATGTGCTCGTGCAGGTCGGTCAGATCAAAATATTGCCGTTGTTCGCGAAAGTGTACCCGAAGATCCAAACACATCGATTCGTCATCGATCGCAGCAAGTGGGCCTTACGTATTCAACCACACAGCGAAATTTAACAAAACACTTGTATCTACACCCATAGAAAGTCCAAATAACTCGGGAGTTGAAACCTCGAGATCATCAACAGCGCCGGGTGTTTGCAGAATGGATACGAGAACAAGGGGTTCAGTTTTCAACAAAAATCATCTAGTGGCTTTGTAAACAAACACAATGCTCGTATCTGGGGATTAGAAAATCCAAGGGAGATTGTTCAAAAAGCAATGCATCCTCAAAAAGTGACTGTTTGGTGCGCATTTTGGTGCGGATGAATAATTGGCCCTTTTTTTTTTCGAGGATAATGCGGAGAACGCTGTTACGGTTAGCGAATACCATCGCTATCGAAACATGATATCTGATTTTTTCTGAGAGCAGTTGTAAGGTATGGACATTGAAGATTTGTGGTTCCAACAGGATGGAGCCACTTGTCACACATCCAGAGAAACGATGCAATTGCTGCGGGGTAAGTTTCCTGGTCGGATTATCTCACGTATTTCACGGCCGCCGCAATCATGTGATCTTACTCCCCTAGATTTTTTTGGGGGTATCTAAAAAGCAGGGTGTATAGAAATAAAAAAAACACTATTTCAGAGCTGAAACAGGATATTAGACGCGAAATAGCCGGCTTAGAACCTGAATTGTGTCAACAAGTGATAGGAAATTTCAATAAACGAATTACGTAATGCCACATAAGTCAGTCACGGGGGTCATTTGAATGACATCATCTTTCATACCTAATTGAAATACACTAATCTAAAATGGCACATAAAAATGTTTGTATATTTTTATATTCTTTCGAGTTTTTTTTTATTATTTTAATGTGGAAACCTTTTACTTAATTATGGTTACTTTTTATTGCATTGAATGACGCTTTAATTGAAGCGCGTTTTATAACGTATAACAATCACAAATAAAATTATTTTTCCTGTAACGAATTTTTGTGTTATTATTAAAATGTATTATACCTAAACTATAAAAAAGTTCTAATCGTGCTATCATATTTAATTCAGCAACTAATAATGGGCTTATTAAAATTTATTCATACTCGGCACATGAATTAAACAAACCAGCTCCTTCAAAAAGTCAAAAATTTACATGGTGTTTCCTATGTTCCTATCCGATATGTCAGATCTATTCAACAAAAAAAAATTATTAAAATTTAGCAACAGAAATTCTACAATACTCCTCAACAATATTTCGAGCACTCTGTATTCGTGGAAATTAATATAATGAGGTTTTAGGTAGGCCTTAATAAGAATTATTGGATACTTTATTTTTAAAGAAAAACCTAGTAGCCTTTCACGATATTTGGCATCAAAAAATAATCTAGTTGGCCATGACTTTAGGTTGATACCATGTAGCTACTGGACATGTAAAGGCCCTACCTATGCTGACAATAGAGGAAATCATGAAGCAACTATGTAATTTTTTTTTGAGAAAGTTCATTCAACGTGCGCATTCGCGAGATTTAAAATTTCTTTTTTAACCAATGGCAGCTCTAATCACAAATTCTAACGTAGGACCCATAAGACCTTGCGGCTTTCAACAAACATGGCCGCTGACAGATCGTCGATGTTTCAATGAGGCATTTTTACGACAGTATTTCCATGAAATATGTCGAAATCCTATTAAATTTTCAGGCAAAAAAACAGTTAAGGGCTGGAAAAGCAATGCAGAATTGTTTTCGTTCATCAAGCCCTATAGATACAATGCAATTTCTACATGGATTTATTTAGGTAAGCTATTTTTTTTTGTAAATCGGCGTAAAGGGTTAGTTTTCATGAACTAATAAGTTTAACCTCCATTGAAATAACTTTCGAGATGCTAGATATCGCACATGAAACTTCTTGTTCTAGTAAAAAATAAAATTATAGATTAATTGCTTTTTTATATTTTCTGTAATTCTGGTACACTAAGACGTATTACCCAAACATCTAAATGTAGTTGAACTGAGGTGGCTTTTACTTGATGAAAATCCATTTATCAAAATAAATAATAACTGAAAGTTCAGATTTTCACGAAATTATATATTTTAATATGACAATTGTTTCGACAACATCAAAAAGAGCTGAAAGCAAGCCAGTTATTACAAAGTATACCGACCATCAATTTTACAACAGGTTCATAAACTTAACGGACACAACATTTTCTAAAAATGAAGTTGAATTTCTGGAAAAAGGTTTCAACTTTAACTTACAACACTCGTACATTAATAGAGAATTAGACTGTTTAGGGATCGATTGTGAATTAGCGATTAAGGACATTAACGATTCTAATTTAAACAAACATGTATTAGCGAATATAATAAACTCTCAAATAATAGATAACAATAAACATAAAGGAATTTCTCAAAAGTCACTAGTAAAAATTATCAAAAACAAAGCTTGTGAAAATAACATAATATTTACACGCGCAGATAAAGGGAAGACAGTCATAGCTATCGATCTCCCAGAATATATTTCAAAAACCAACAATTTTTTTAAACCAGAACTTTTCCAATGTATCAAACACGATCCTACCGAGTTATATCCAAGACAAGTCATGAAATTAATTACTAACTCCACACTATTTAGTGACAAAGACAAATATTTTTTAACAATTATGAATCCACAACCGGCGAAATTATATTTTTTAGTTAAATTACATAAACAAGATTTGCCCATTAGACCAGTCGTATCTTATGTAACAGCTCCAGCAGTTAAACTCTCTACAAAATTAGTAAATATTTTAAAGTTACACACAGCTTTTAAACCAAAATTTGCAATAAAAAATTCTTTTGAATTAATAAACAAAATTAAAGATATCAAAATCCCTTCTAACGCAACAATGTTGTCTTTTGATGTACAAAACTTATTTCCCAGTATTCCACCTATGGATGTGATAGATTTACTAGATTTCACCCTAACTCAGAAACAGGTTAACCCATTGGTGAAACAAGAGTTATTAGATTGCTTAATAGTATCTTTAGACCAAAATTATTTTGAAATTAATGGACAGATTTATATCCCTAAAGAAGGTTTGATTATGGGAAACCCACTTAGTCCTTTGTTAGCAGAGGTTTTTACGGATAATTTGGAAAATATCATACTAGAACATCCTTTAAGTAAAAGTTTTTTTATTGTGGTATAGATATGTGGATGACGTCTTTGCGTGCTTTGTTGGAACGGACAGACAATTGAATTCTTTTTTAAATTACATTAACTCAATAGATAATCGTATAAAATTCACTATCGAGATTGAACAGGATAACTATTAATTTTTTAGACTTAACTATTACGAAAACGCAAAACAAATTAGATTTTTCCATTTATCATAAACCTTCACACACGGACACAGTCATACATAACAGCTCAAATCACCCTTATACACACAAAATGGCTGCATTTAACTCTTTTATACACAGACTTCTTAATACGCCACTCTCAACAAAAAATTACAAAGAACTTAATATCATTAAATAAATTGTACTGAACAACGGCTACAATCCGTCCATTATATATAAAATTATAAATAAAAAACAAATACAGACAACAGTAAATTCTATTTATCCGAAACCTAATACAGAACACGAACAATTTAAAACAATTACATACACAGGAGAACCTAGTGAAAAAGTTTCAAAACATTTGTCAAAATGTGGTTTAAAAATAGCTTTCAGGACTAACAACACAATAGGAAAATATTTAAAAAACAATAAAACAAAATGTCCAAAATCCCAAAAATCAGGTTAAAATGCGGATCTTGTCTTAAAATTTATATTGGACAAACAGGTAGATCCTTCAAGAAACGCATTAACGAACATAAAAGAGCGTTTAAAAACAATAATCTAGATTCCAATTATGCTACACACTTAAACACAGAACAACACATTTTTGACGACAATTTTGATATTTTACATACAGCCACAAAAAGTAGAAAATTAAATTTATTGGAAGCCATGGAGATTAACAAAATGAGACATTCAAATGTATTGCTTAACGATCAATTAGATTTAAAAACCTCTCCTTTATTGAACTTAAATTCTCGCAACAACATTAATTAAGGTTTTATGGTCATTTTTCGGTATATATAGTAGCAGGTAATTTGGAAATATTACGTTTGATAAAGACACGGTGTTGTCGAAACAATTGTCATGTCAAAATATATAATTTCGTGAAAATCTGAACGTTTAGTTCTTATTTATTTTTATATAAATGTAGGGAATTCTGTTTAGTAAATTGACATGTTAATAAATATCCAGTTTGTTAAATGTCAAATATTTAGGTATCACTGTTCGTCTAATATCCTATTAGGTCCTCATATTTGCCGCTTTTGCTGTAATTTCGTGAAAGAACAAAGCATTGAAAGCACAAATTATGGAAGTTTGTGGGTATAGTAAATGAAAACAACTATGGCACTATGCACATATGCGACAATAGTAATTACTTAGTTCGTAGTTAACAATTATGTACGGATTTCAGAGATTGATGTCGCGGTCTTATAAAAATTAATCAATTACAGAAATGTAGCAACTCAGCAAATAGGGGGTTACGCATTCGCAAAAATCTATAAAAATATCACAGGCGCCCGCGATGCATCAATTTTTACCGTAGCAATATGTGGTTTTATTACATTTTTGACATATATCCAAAAAAATATTAAAATCAAACCGTAAACAAAGATTACAAGGGTGTATAGGTTTAAGCAAGAAAGTGATATTTCAAACACTCTGTATTAAAACTTGAATGAGATTGGTATAGTTGAGTTCTAAGAAGTCCTAAATAGAAATGGTTGCGAATTTATTCCTTAAAAAACCCCTTATAGTACTTCTCTGGTCTCTCTCTCTCTCTCTCTCTCTCTCTCTCTCTCTCTCTCTCTTGTTAAATAGATGTAGTTGGCTATGACTTTATATTGAAGCAATAAGCAAAACTACCTTTTAGTCTATTGTTGAAACATCTATCCAGGAAAAAATATCAAATTCGAAACTAGGGTGCATAAGTGGGACACACTGTACTTAATGCCAAATGTGGATTAAGATACTATTTCAAAAAATAGGTGAAATGGTAAGTAATTCTAATCAGGCAAACCCATCAAACTTGTCAGCAAAGCAAATTAAACATGCTGCTCTGAATCGCATTTTTGGCAATTTGAGGATTAGTTTAGGTAAGTATATAACAAAAAAAACTTACTTTCGGTAGCCCACAGTTTCAACTTTTTGAACTCCTCGGCGTAGAACAAACTGTGATTCCGACATTTTGCGTTTGCCGAATTTGTCGTGGGCACGTAAATTTCTAAGGCACTTTTGACGGTGAGATTTTCCGATAACGCGTCAAACCAATTCCCCGAAAATGCTGCCTCGTTTACGCTAAAGGAAAGTGCGACCACTAGGAGATTTAATAAGTTCGACTTCATGGTCTAGTCGTTGTAAAGACGCAATCGGCCTTCCGTTGCTTTTATATATTATTTCCCATTTGAAAGGACTGCTTCATATTTACTGGGCGATTCATGGGTTCCTTGTTTAATAGACAAAAGGTTGCTTCTAAAGTAATACATTCTGCACACTTATAGTATCGAGTTTCGACGTTACATTACTTAGATAATCAAAAAGGGAGAGCAAAGAAATATTTGTGAAGCAGCTGCATCTAGGAAAAAAAAATTGCAAACAGTGACATTTATGAAAATAAGGTACAGCGTTATGATTATACAACATAGATTTAACATAACAGGAAAGTAAGCAACAAAAGGCAATTAATTTCGACATTATGTCGCATTTAAGATACACACCCTAAAATTTTCGTCATCTAAATAGATACATAGTAAATTACATAATTTTTCATAATTTCGTTCAATATATAAAACTATTAAAAGTTCATTTCTGTCTTCCATAAATTACTGTATTATGGAAATGAAGATTTTTACAATATGATCAATCTAATAGCGTATGTGTAATTTAATTTAAATTCTACAGTAAAGTATATAACACTATTTAGAAAACTTCTGGATTCCTCCTGCGTCGGTTGATGTTGAATCGAACTTGCTGACGTTATGCTGATAGATAAGATAATATAGTGGCTACAGGTGGCTATGATATTTTCATACAGATCTGTTGCGCCTGCGTCACCCCCAACTAACTGAGTTGTCACATTGCCGTAATTCTTCTGAAAAATTTGATTAATTTTCATAAGGACGCAAAATCAGTCTCTGAAATCCGTACATCAGTGGCAACGCCGAGCTAGAAATTGTTATTGCCAGTGAATACTAACAGTTTGCGGCATTGTTGTTTGCAATTTTGGTGGTTGTGATACCGTACCTTTTCCGCATTTTTTTTTGAAAAACTTGTTGTGTTTGTGGTCAAAACTGTAAGGAAAAGAATGTGCTTATATACAGGTAATTTAAACAATTTAAAAGTTGTTTCTATAGGACTCCCTCACACTCACGAAGTTACAAGCGTGGGAAAGGACCTAATAGGATCTTAAATAAACCCGAGTAAAAGAAAACAGTTAGCCTGCAGTTTTTACTAGAACAATCACAAGAAAAACTCATTGTAAACCTCAATGTGACAAAGTTTTCGTTTGTCATCAGGCTTAATGAAAACGAAATTACCTTTCGGTTGGTCAAAAATTACTGAAACTATTACCGCGGAAAGTGGGGAATTACCAGAATTAGTTCAGCTCCAACAGGAAGAATTTAAACAATAAATCTGTAGGATATTTTTGGGAAGTCTTAGGGCATTACAGGAAATCTTTGAGAATTCCCAGGAATTCTAGGCAACTATTCAAAATTTTGGAATACTTCATTTTTAGGTCACCTACCTCCTTAGGGAAGTAAGTGAATACTGCCGTACATACACACAAAAATTGGACACTGATTAAATGCAAACAGTTCTATCAATAAATAATTTTTGTAAATCTGCTTGTTGGATTTTTGGGACAGTAGGAAAAATGTATAAATATGTTGAGAAGTCTTCGACTATTTTTCCAACTCTAGCTTAGCTCGAGAGTAAGCTATGTCCTTGCCTTGTAAGTATCACCTCATGTGAATAACCATTTAGTATAAGTTTCTGGACAAGTTATGGGACCGATCTATGTTCTCTATCCCATTTTTTTTTGTAGACTTGCATATGTCCTAGTTTTGTTTTCTTAATCACTTGTCCAGGTAGTGTCATTCAATTTACATTTTATTTTTTGTTTCTCAAAAGATGAAATCGTATGAAAACAATGCATAACAGGCTTAGTCAAAAATGGAGCTGCCAGTGAGGCTGACAGCTTTAGAAGAGCATCCATATGTGGGGGCCACATTACTCTTTTAAGCTGCAGAAGAGGTGGTAACCTTTTGATAAAGTAGTTATAAAGTCTTTTAGGTAGATATTGTGATGAGTTATAATTCGGGTTATTTGTTTTCTGGTCATTCTATTTGCCGATGGTAAACAACCCATATTTAGAGTGCCAAATGGTACCTTTTTTTTTTAACCCGATTGATAAAATTTATCAAATAATTCCACATTCCTCACAAATATTTTTTTGTCGGTCTAAAATATTGTTATATTTCCTTCATCTTCTTTTCTGCAATTTTTAAAAGTGGTGATCCTCTCAAATCAAGTAATATAAAAGTTCCTTGAAAAGAGTAATACTGAAGCATCTTATATCGGACGCCATTGTGCAAATGAATAAATGTCATTATGCTCTTAAAAAATGCAGCATAGATTTATATTTAATTTCCTATTATGTTTATAAGCAACAATATACTTTATTCTTTTCAATAAAAGCCTTATTAAATAATTCATGTATTTATTTATACTAACCAAAACGAGTTAATAAAACACTATATAAAATGATATTATAATTAAAGGTACGTCGTAGTTGTGACATAAACAATCTTGTCTACAAAACTAGTCTGGAGTGTGCATCTGGAAAAAAATCATAATAGGACATCTTCCTTTTAGAATGTTTTATGTCAGCTTACACTTTTAAAAAATCCCTAGAATTTTTGGAAAAGTAATTTTTGGTTATTTATATTTTAATCCAAATTACAATAAGTATGTATAGCTTAATTATTGTGTGTATTGATACTAGTATCTAAAGCCAGCTAGAAACAATGCAATTTCTACATGCATTTTTAGCATATAATATATGTTGTTAAATATTTTTAACGGGGAATTTTTTGCCGTTGCCACCATGCAATTTTTACTAGCAAAATGTTTTTTTAAATTTTAATACAATAAACGACATTTTTTAGGGTTTGGTATTGTTAATTCTGTAACATTTAGGGCTAATTGTTTATTGATTTGTCTTATACTAGTTTTTAATTTTCTTGGTTACATTTTCCAATACGTACCGTTTTTTAACGAAATTGTCCATTGGTACTTTTGATAATTATATATTTGTGAGGCGAAACTTTCTGCAATTACTAGACTTACAATGAAAGAATGAGCGTTCTGTCTATACGAGGTGCTTGTTTTGGAGTCACATTTTGTGAATTTGACTTTATTTACATCTTCAATAGAGGTTAAACCAATAAGTTTATAAAATTCGGGAAAAATTAGCTGGTATCGTGTCTATAGCGCTTAAAGAACCAAAATGCTAAAATACAGAATACCTACAACGCCGATCTGTGTGCTGCAATTCATCATAATATTAACTCTCCTTTTTTGCCTGAAAATGGGATTTCGACATATTTTGAGAAAAAATGCAGCATCAAAAAATTAACGGCCTGCCAGTAGCCATGTTGGTTGTTGGAAGCCGAAAGTCCTTACGGGTCGAACGTTAGAAAATGCAATTAGAGCTGCCATTGGTTAAAAACGAAATTTCGAATATCGCGCATGCGCATATTGCACAAACCTAAAAATTTGGTTACATACTTACTTCGCGAGTTCCTGTACTATTAGCATAGGCAGGGTCTCTGTATGTCTAGTAGCTATATGGGTATCTCAAACGGAATTTTGTCCTTGACGGATCGCTATATTTTCTAAGAAACTTTGATATGTAGTCAGTGGTGTTTTGAATGTAAGAAAGGACAACATTGGCAATTATGGGATTTCTGTCGGTCTCATTGAATTTGGAAGGTTGTAGTTGAGTTTAATCCAGGATGGAACACTTAGTGTCTCTAATGTGGTGCAAATAGTGTTACAGTAGCCCGTGAAAGTTTCTTTGAAAAACAAACAAGCCTTTATGCAGAAGATAACAAAAACAAAAGCAGAAAGTTAGACGATCATCGAATGAAAATGATAAGATTACTCTGCACACAGAATTTTTTGTTACGTTGTAGAAACCGTAACATTAAGCCTATTTTTTTTCAATGTCCCATCATCCGCTTATAAAATTCTTCGCCCATTTATGTTTGCTTAACTTCGAGAAAGAATTCATTATACCACTGCATCTTGAAATTGCTTTCATCTTGTTTCCATACGAGTTCAATTCCCTTTCAAACATGATTTATAACAAAGCTGAACAACTTCGTTTATCTTCTGTCCAGAATCACATTAAAAAATTTGAAAAACTAACGTCAATACTAGTGAAACCATCAAACTCTTCTCAACTACTAAACACTGTGATAAATCTATCATTGCATATAAGTCCTTGCAAAAGGTTCCAACTTCGTCCTTGCCCCTCGCATAATCCCAAAAGAGGAAATTATTATATTATTATATATTAGCAACAACCCTTAAAAAATCGAAACTTCCTAAATCTAGTATTCCAAAGTCTGAACACATTGCTCTAAAATGTCTAAAATCTAATCCCGACAGCATAATTCTAAAAGCAGATAAAAGAAATGCTACGGTCGTCATGAACACATATGAATGGAAAGATTGAAGATATTCTTACAGACGGATCATATCGTCAACTTAAAAAATATCCCATTTCATTAGTGCAATTGCAACCTTAAATCTGTTATTGAGGCTTCTTCTGTATCAACATTATTTCAGATATATTAAAATCCCAGAATTTGGAACAAAACATTCTTATATTAATCGACAAATGCTTATGAACATATTTTTCTTATAACGGTCAAATTTTTAAATAAACGTCGGGCACAGCTATCAGTGCGAATATATTTTGAGAAGAATGCGCTCGACATCTTCCATCTAAAACAAAAAATTATGGAAACGCTGCTTTTATTATTTGCCCTCATGATCAGGAATATGTACCACATTTTCTTCACCTAGTATTACACTTACATCTGCTCTTCTCTCTAATAATATTCACATTAAAGATAGTAAACGTTCTATCTCATTAGTCCGAAAGCAACCTTACACATGCCACTGTTCCTTACATTCAAAACATCGCTGACGACAATAAAAGTTCTTTAAAAATATAAAGTTGAAATAACAGTTACCACTTATCCAAAAAATCACTCAACATTTTCGATCCATCAAGGACGAAATTCCGTTTGAGATATCAGTAGATTAGAGCATTCACTGCATATGCAACAAAGAACTCATCGGGAAGACCGGAGAAAAATTATCAATTAGGCTCAAAGAAGAAGACAAATAAAA